TGCTGTACTAGCCGCATGAGATGCGTCCAACGCGGAGGTCACGACGGGTTGTTTAGTAGTCGCACGTCCAGATGTTCTTTTGATGGTAGAAGACTGGGGACTTTCGTCATCTTCATGAGCATCAACACGCTTGATGCTAGAAGTTATCTGCTCTTGACTCATATCTATCGCTCTCTGCCACAGGCTACTGCGTGAAACGGAAGCAAGACTGCGGCCCAAAGTTGGATGAGGGTGATCATAAGCATAACTCCACAGAGGGGGTCTAGTACTCGCACATCCAGCTTCGTCACAAGTTGCGCCAGATGTTGACGCAGAGCAAGTTGCTGCACTCTGTTGGTGTTGTGGTGGTCCTTGAAGCGGTAGTACTGGAAAACCTGAAGATATTTCACGTTCTTGTCCTGCTCCTCGTGATGTGTAATGTGTGTTTCGAAGCACATTGTATGAACTTGACGCGCAAGAATCACGGAGCTGCATGCATCTCTTTTTGCCATCACGGTCATTTCGTCTTCCCTCGTTATACGACGATAGAAGCATATTCCCCGTGGGTGAAGTAGTCATCACGCGTGGAGAAATCAAAGCGGTTGCAAGAAGATTCGCCGAGCGCGTGCCTGCGGTGGTACTCACTGTGCTTCCAGCGAGCAGTCGGCTGGAGAGTCCAGGTATACACAACTTGGGTTTGTTATGAGACGCCACTTCGCCTGTGCCTGAGTCTGAGCAGGATGTAGTGGAAGATACTACACCACCCGGAGGCTGTGTATCACAGACACCAAGGCCTTTCACGGATGCGGAAGGCCATTCTCTTGCCTGCTGAAGATCAGAGCCAATTCGAGGAACCTCAAACGTGCAACTTGTTGCATTATTCGTGGTCAAAGTATTGTTCAGTGATGAGAGTGCCTTTTGCTCTAGCGTATGATCAACCACAGGAAGATGCTGTTGACGAAGCGGGGAGGGCAACGGCGTAGGCACGGGTGAGGTCCCTGATGGCGTGTCGCCGCGCGTTCCTCCATGTTCCGGATGAGAATTCTCACGGCCATGATAGCACGCTCGACGCTGCACCGATGTCCCTTTACTAGCCAAAGAAGGAGCAGAGGTCGATTCGTCGCCACGAGACAAGGAGCACGAGAAAAACAGTGTCTCTTCGACTGTAGTAGAAGTGTGATCCTCGTCTCGTGTTTTCATCTTCATTTCAGCACGCAGAGAGGCGATTTCTAGCTCGCGCAACGCATTAGAGTTGCGGGGCGCCGTGTCTTCTTGTTCATTTTTCTCGAGATTTATCGACGCACTGAACGTGTCAGAGACCTTGTTGTGCTTGGCAGTTTCATCATCCACGTCACAGCTTGACTGTGATGCATCAGGAGCAAGTGACGGTTTTTGCTCTTCCGTATGGTTCTCGCCATCGCGCGGCACTCCAAGCTGCCAGATGCGGGTGGATTTTGTGGAGGCAGTTTTAGCTCGTATGGCCCTTGGACGCAGTAGAAACTCAGAGGAGCGGTCGTTTCTGCTTGCAGGCGAAGGCGACTGTGGTCGCAACGGAGAGCCGGTCGTGATGTCCATCACTATTTCTTCGCCGACGACATGATCATGCTCTTCTATAATTCTTGCATTTGCAGACGATACTGAATCCTCACTCTCCTTGATCATGAGGTTATGCACCTTATTTCCCGTCGCGAGTACAACTGGCAATTGCGGGCTAGAGGCAGGCGAAGAAAACAGCGACGTTCTCGCGGACGAATGCGAATCGGCTCTCGTAAGAGCTGCAGCGACGTCTTCACAATCAGGCAGTAGCTCGTCGCCAGAACCGACATATGGAGGACTTCCGTCGACCTCCACGCTCGTGCTACCTCCAGCGACCTCCATAGAAGCTGAGACTTCTTCAAGACCAGTCTCGGCAGTAACGTATTTCGTATCAGTTACTTCTACATGAGCCACAGTATGCATTTGCTTCGCGGATAGCGCGTCAGTATCTTCTTGCTTCGTTTGCTCGCCTTTCTCCACGTTGGCTTTCGCTGAGCCCGAAGAACCTTGTTGTTGTAGAAGTGCCTGCGCACCATGAAGATCTAGTGTAGGAAGGTGAACCTTGCTGCCGCCCCACACTTTCTTTTGGCGTGGAAGTAGAATGCCCCCGAATGTCGCCAGTGGAGTATAGCTAGCCTGAGACGAAGGGGATCGAAACAAATCTTCTGCTTGTTCTGAGGTCTTGTGAGTCTGAGTGTCTCCGAATTCATGGTAAAATGCGGCTGCAGATCCACCATCTATGTACATCTGTCCAGCTGGCGAAGTTGCGGCCCTAGCTCTTTGCTCGGCCCTGTGGGGATAAAAGGTTCCCTCGCGTCTGTGTCGCGGATTTACATCTGCTTGCGGATCCGTCCCCCTCATGTTTGTCGACGCATTGACGAAGACCTGTTTCATATTCGACGCATCCAGCACAAGATCCGGTTTTTCAGCACGCAGTCTGACAAATGCTTTGTCTAGGAATTCGGCGCCAAAGCGGGACATGGAAACCGGAGGCGCCTTTTCCTCCGGTTCCGGAGAACTCAACAGCGGCAACGCCCAGCTGGGAATCAGCGGCGATACGGAATGCACAGAGGCGGCAGGAGAAGGAGACGGAGTTATCTTATTGGAGGCGCCTCCGATTGATGCACCGACTCCAGCGGCACCCGGCGCGAATCTGGTCATGAAGTTCTTGTGCCAGGCGCTTCGCAGTGAAGTCACGCCACCAGAAATTGATGTTTCAGGGCTCGCAATCTGGAGCGGCTCCACGTAGGAGGAGGGCAACTTGCGGCGATCTGGCATCGGGCCTCTATCTATCTGAGATTTCACGACGTCCTGACCCCAACCCGGATTCGCGTGCTTGCCGCTTAATGGTTTGGAGACGGAACGGCGCGGAGGCGAAAAGTCGTTGACCTCTACGCTTTCAGGCGTAGTCGGCCAAGGCGCCGCGCTTGTGTCTGGCTCGGGGACCGTCTGGAGCATTGCCGGAGTCTGAGGCGCGGAGCGTGCGACGCGTACGCTCGGTGACGCTCGGAGGGCAGAAGACGGCAGTGATGTACTAAGTGCAATGTTGCTGCTACCTATTGCCTGTCCGTCTTCTTTTATCCCTCGACTAAACGCTAAGCCTCCATAACCATTTGGCCGCGTAGTTGCTTTGCCGGTCAGCGAGGAAAAAGGTGTAACATTGTCCTCAAGCCTTCGCAGATCGTCTTGGAGATCAGGTGTGCAGTCAGGCTGTGGCGGTCGCGCTCCCACTAGCAGCTCGTCTGCTAGACCATGGTGGTCCTTTATTGCTGTATAGAGCCGTGACCATTCCGAGTCCCAATGTGCGTGCGTCTTAGAAGAGTTCCCTCTCATCTGCACACTTCTATCACTTGTGACGTCACTACTTGCCGAAGTTTCTTTAAGAGAAGCATCTGTTCCTCCAGCTCCTGCTGCTGCACGTGCACCGGTAAAGTTAACTCTTAAAGGATAGTTACCGATCTCCAAATCATGGTTACGACCAACATCTCCATGGGTTTTCGAAGGCGCGCGGTCAAGCTTGACCATCATGTGGTCATCTCCCCGAACATCGACAACGCCGTACCTCGTTCCATTGCCAGAATAGGGTGGCTTTGGTAGCCTCGGCGGCCAGGCCGGGGACATCTCTGACAGAACAATATCCTCCATTTTGGCTGACAGAACATGTGCCGCTGCCGGTTTGTACTCCCACAGGGTTTGCACACTCGCACCAAAAGGGAAAATATGCTTCACGAGCCGGTTTTTTAAAGACTTTCGAAACTGGCGCCCAAGCCCAGGCCTCTGTAGAGAGGATCTCACTTCATGTCCAGAAATTTCGTTCTGCTGATGTTCGAATCTTTGAACTGGAGAAGATATCCGCCTAAGCCCTCCTGCAGGGCCTGCGTGTATGCACATGAGAAACACCGAGGACGGCGATGGCGAAAGCTGAGTGAGTCTACTTTTCGAGGTATTCGTTGACATTCGTTTTCGGCCAGCCTTTCGTGATATGTGGAGATGCCCTCGTGCCTGCGGTGTTGATGCACTTGATGCCGCCAGAGACTGTCTCGTCTTTGCTCGATCTCTGTGCTCCCTCTCCGGCCCGGCTTTTCTGAGACCGGAATGGTCAGCACGCGCTTCGTCTTGTTTCAGTCTAGGTCGAATCCCTGCAACTGCATTAGATTTCGTCCCGTGCAATTGTGGTGCATCAGCAGGGCCAGTATTCATCTGCGGTGGTCGCTTAGCAAAACGCGGCTTTTCGTCATCATCGTCGGCGTCGTTGCGCCTTCTCGACGTCACACATTCCAGCATGGAGTCCCGAAAGGACGGTAGCGCAGAGACTCGAGCCGAGAAGCTCTTTGATCCCGTTCGGCGAGTGCGAGTCGAGTCACTCCGAGAATCTGCGCCATCACCATTACCAGATCTTGCACTTGATGTCCTGATGGTAGTATCTTCCTGCTTGTGCTGTCGTGTCATGCTTCGAATGTCAGTCCTTCGATTTTTCCGATGTTCTGCTACATGATCCCTGGACGAAGAAACTCTAGTGCGAGTTACCCCTTGATGTTGAAGTCTTTTTTGATGGTGAAGCAGGGTGCCTGATGTTGTACTTGCAGTTCTGGAAAAGGTCGTTGTACCAATGCTGCTCTTGGGAGGAGATGAAGAACAAACCACATCAAGACGTTTCCTTTGATCCAAAATTACACGACCTTGACGCTCAAAAGATTTGTCGCATTTTGCATAATGCACGCGTAGGGAGCGCATTTTTAGGCAAGGATTGTGAAACATCTCCCCCCGTCTAGTAGTAGTTTGCTCTAGATTCAACCGATTATGTTCTCCTGGATCTCTAGTGCACAAAACGTTCCTGCTTCTTAGCCTGCTTCTGTCTGAAACTGGACCTGAATCTTTTATTAGACTTGGAGGAGGAGCTGTAGCTGGTGTTCCTGTTCCACCACGTATGAGGCCGCTAATTGTACTTGTTGTCTCCAGAGCAGAAACATCTTTAAGATGGTAATGGGCTGAGGTCCAACCTGCACAGAGGCACTCCTGCTCTGCTGCGTTGGTGATAGCATTCGTCAACATGGAACCAAGAAGAAAGCGTAGGTGATTCATTTCACGACGTCGCACTGTATTCATTATGTGCTGCTCGCGCTTCAGCGCAGTGCACGGATCTTGAATATTCTTTTTGAAATCCTCTACTTCAGGACGAGGATCACATCCCATCTTGCTTCTTTTGCAGCCTGGTCGTGCGGCTGTCACATTCTCGTCAAGGGTTCCTTTTCCTCCATTTGATGCAACTTCGATTGCATGACGTGATCGATTTGTAGGAAGACCCATCGCTAAGGCTTGTTCGAGTCTCCTGTCCGCAGCTTCGAAAAACTCACTCTTCTTCCCGCTCTCCGTCTCGTCCTTGTCTATCATGTGTAATTTTGTAAAAATCATGCTCCCATCTGAGGAGGAATTGCCCTCTCTAATGTGAAAACCCGCAGCGTGGTCGAAGAATTTTCTGGAATACTCGTCTGCATGTCTCGTGCTGGCATCTAGTTAGAGCTAGGCAACAAGGTCAATTTTCATCAAAATCCTGCGTGTTTCTGGAAACAAGTAGAGTGATGCCGTGGCTTGCCTCCTTGGTTTTGCCACGAACCTCGGCATAGTCTACCACGACGTCGTGCACATCTACGTCAGATGGATTATGTAGCCGTGAAGAATACGTAACAGCATTTTTTTTACAGTAGCGATAGCCTTAATCTATCGTTGCCTTTGAGTCTGTGTCACTGAGTAGCGAGTCGTAACTCGACATCAGCACGGACTCCTGAGAAACCTGCGCTTTCCACGCGATATCGTGCTGAAGGTCCCAGGCACTAGACACAGACGAACCGCACGACCCCGAGGAGTCATTTCGTGTGGCTCCTGCTCCCTTTTGAACAAGCATGGACGTGGAGGTTGCTATTTGGAGTGATGATCTTGCGTGTGCTTGTGCCTGATGTTGTTCCCTTGTTGCATTTGCTGCAGCTCGTCCACCACCTACTATGTCTATTAGCGCTGTTCTTGCCGCACTTAATTCTCCTCCCCGAGACAGAGCATCAGCTGTGGAGGCAAACAGCCCGTCAATCGTAGTCGCGAAGGAAGACAAGCTGTAATTTCCGACTTGCTTTTCTCCCTCTCGTTGATGTTGATGATGCTCGCTTTCGCTCCTCTCGGATGAAATATCCTTTTCTACTTCTTCTTCGTCATCGATGCGGCCACAAACGCCAAACAGCTTGCACCTATGTTCGCTGGCTTCCAGACGGCGATTGCGCTCTTCTTGTTCAGCTTCTGCATCTGCACTTGTCTCAGCACGTTCACCCTGCGGGGTACTGCATGTGTCGCTTCTGGGTAACGAGAGCGAGGTACGTAAGGGAAGATTAGAAAAACCCTCATCTTGTTCGAACCTTCCCAATTTTGACGTGACATCTCCGTCCTTAGAAGACAAGCCCGGGTCTTCCTCGTCTCTTAGCAGTGAAATCGGAGCAAGGGACTCAAAGCGTGGCGCAAAGGAGTGCTGCTCCAGCGTGAGCCGTTCCTTGTCATTGTCGTAGACGTGGATATTCAGGAGATATTGACCTTGCCCCAACTCCGCAGCCGCTTCCGCGGTCGATGCTAGTACAAAAAATTGATGTTCTCGATCCTCAACATAGTCGATCGACTTTGAAGTACCATTTCCATGAGCAGAACCACCAAGATTCTGGAAAGGCAAGGAGCCATCACCTACAATCGGCACATTTGGTTGCAGGCCGTTTTCTAGCCTGTTGGGACTCAACGGGACAGTCCCCAACGTGAAAGATCGAACAAAAGACTCAAACATCACCTGCCACAACGATTTCCTAAAAATTCAAAACTGTAGCACTTTTAGGAATCCGTCATCAATGATACACGTGATTCAAATTCATGTTCATCAAGAAAAGAATCAAAGTCACTTTTCTTTCACCACGTTCATCTTGTTCATATTCAGTCGTAAATCACCGTCTTCTATTAATCATGTGTTATACCCAGGACGTCCTGAAGCTGAAACTTGTTACACTTCGTTGTAAATGTAATCCAACGTTCTATAGCTGCTAAACATGCCTAGTCCAACTATGTATAGTTCAAAATCTGAAGCGGGAAAGTGGTTAATCTTTCTTCTTGCACCTTTCATTTTCTAGCTGACCTGTCATACTTCAACTTCTTTCTAGTTGCATCTGCGCACATCGTGCGGGTCCTCGTTTTGTCAGCCCTAAAAAAGCTAGTACACCATGATCGGCGTGTTTTTCTCCACCAACACTCACAGTCACAAGACCTCACTTACCGACTACGCACTAGAATTGAGCCTGCTCGTCAATCACCAGTTACAGAGACAGAGGTCGACGAGTCTTCTATAGAACCTAGCTACTACGCGCACGTGAATGTATTCCTCTCTTCGTCTCAGATCGTTCTCGTCTGATCTTATCCCGACCATCAACTACTCTTCAGACCGAAATTGGTTTTGCTGAAGTTTGTGTGCTCGCAATCAGATTCCGGTGAGTTTCAAGCATGTAGGAGTCCAACTTTTAAAAGAACAGAAAAACCACTATACGCATTGATACCTGAAGAATGCCAGGTTGTTTAGAATTAATCTGCAATTTGGTCTTCAGCGCGAAGAAAACGGGAAGGAGCGCTGAAATTTTGGGAACATCAAGGGCATTATGGGTATTGGTGAGAGTTGCGGTCTTTGAGCGAAGCCATCACGTGAGCTATTAGTGCTCACGAAGTAAACAAGCTAAGCTGAAGTTCAAGGTATGCGTGTGCGTATCAATTCGGGGGAGTCCATTAATCGACGCACACGCAGATTCTTCTCATGGGCAGGTGAAGGAGCATGGTGGTGATTCAAACCAGGCCATGTCAATGGCTTGCTTCCAATGATCATGATGTACGAGAATAAATGTGGCATCTTATGTAACCGCAAGTGGGGGCTCGTAGTTGAACAGGTGGGCGGGTACACCCTACGAGCGACAACCGTTACAATTCTGACGCCCGCGTTGCCGCCCCGCTGAACATCCCTGACACAGTATCCGCGAACTTCTTGCCGATATCGGACAACTTTCGCGACAGTGTGCCTTGGTCTGCCTCCTTCGCTGCTGTCAAGCTCTTGGTAGTGTTCGCTGTCACTTCTTCCCTACGTTTTATCACGCGAATCTCGTTTTCTCGAACATCTTCGTCTCGGTGATCTGCTGTAGAAGAAGTAGGTGCATCGTTTCTGCTCAGGAGTTCTTCTTGTTCAACAACATCAGGATCACTCCAGGTAACTGTAGCGTCTGTAAAAATGTCAGGTCGAAGTTGTCGAAGCTGCACATAGAGCTTTTTCGCAACTTCCCTGGTTTGTGTGTCACGCGACAGTTGTTCTTGCACTATTGTAATATGTGAGGTCTGCTCGTTGGATGAAGATGTAGAGCTAGTGCTAGTGGCCGAGCTAGTAGAGTCTTCTGCTTGTTTCAAGTTGATGAAGTCGATGAGGAAGTCTTGCTTGATGGTGTCGACATAGGCCAGTCTCGGTAGCTCTCTAGCATCCGACAGGTCCGGGAGGGCCCAGTTGTTCCAGAGTTCTGACTTTCGTGCCGCATTGTAATCCCCAAGAGATTTCAGGTTGAAAATAGGCTGTTCATGCAGAGTCGCTAGGAAACGCACGATTTTGCGAAACTCTTTCATGCGATCAGCCTGAGAATACTCGCCCACTGAGATCAGACTGTCGGCTGCTGTGGTTGTTGGCAAGATGATTGTTGTGATGTTCGCTGTTGTTGAGTTCGTGGTGGCGACCGCCGCAGCTTCTTCCGTTTGTTCTTTCTCTTCAGAGGTCGTCCCATTCTTCTCAAGAGAAACTGACGAGCCTGCACTTGGGCGAGTCATCAGTTTCTGAGCCTGTGCGCGAGTCACCACGGGAGTTTTTGATGTGTCTTCACCTTCTTCTTGATGCGACAGCATGATCTCATCCTGCTCAAGCGCCTCCATCGCGAACTGATCTACCAGTCGAACCTTGGCTGCGGAAGAAACAGTCTCGATATCGTTTTCCTCGTCTAATGCTTGTGATGCGGGTGAAGCTGAAGCAGAATCTTTTTCCACTAATCTCTTGAGGTCCAATTGCTCGTACGCATGCTCCAGAAACTTGCGAGCACTTTCCGCGACACGCGGAAAGCCTCCTCGCAATAGCACGCTGAAGACTGAGTACAGCTGTTTTCTGACGACAAATCCGTCTCGGATAGCCCATTCGTGAAGACGCAGGAATCGATCGTCACCGTATTTGTCCAGAAACGAGGCCATCGCCGGAAAGTTGTTCTGGAACATGTAGCTAAGCGCAAAGGCAGCAGCTTCGGATAGATGCAGACGCACACCCGTTGCGATCTGACGTTGAAGTGTATTAGAAACAGCCGCGACATGCTTCTTATTTGCTCCTCTGTTCACTTTTTGTTGTACTGGTGATGAAGTAGAAGTGTTCATGTTCATCACTGTGCCAGCATCCTCCATTTCTTCTCCTTGATTTTTGTCAAGCCAGTGGGGATTCTCCATATTCCCAACTAGTTCGACAAGAGGCTCAACGATTCCAAGCTTGTCAGCGTCTTGTGCGACGTTCAAATCCGATAACTCGTGAGCTGCGACTTCAAGGACCTTGAGAATATTGCTGAAATGTTCGAAGCACTTCGCATCTTCGGATTCATAAACCCCTGAGGAAGTTGCAGCAGGTGACGATGCCTCCATTGGTTGAACTTTCATCGATGATGCCGCAACAAGGCTTTGCATTTTCTGTTTTGAGTCGTAGCTAGCACGCCACCTTTTGAGCCACCTTTGTGCATGCTGTTCCTGGTGAAGTTGCATTGGGGTCTTCTCGTTTTCTTCATTTTGAGGGGCATTTGAAGACACGTCGCCTGCATCGAAGTCGAGGACTTCTTTGGCGAGAAAATTTCCCCAGCGTTCGTGGTAGAACATCTTAAAAATGTTGGAAGTGAACTGGCGAACGCTACCCATTCGCATCGTCGTCTCACCAGTTAGACAGGGACGTAGACCAGCCATTTCCTCTTTCAAAACTTCCGCGAGCTCAGTCACGAAATGCGGCCGAGTGCTGTATTCAACATGAGTAGGAAGGCGGATGAAGAGAAGTAGACAACCTAAGTAATGGTGCTGGTCAAAACTCGCAGCCTTTGATCTTCGATATTCACTATGGTCTACGCAATCACAAGTCTGGATATCATGGAAGTACTTGAGGCCTTCAACTTATCTATCATATTAGCAATACCCAACATCGAAAAGCTGGTCCACAACGTCCTTCCCGTAAACGTCTTCGATCGTTTGGCCTGCTCGCTCGTATTCTTCTGCTAGAGATTTGACTTGGTCGGGATCTGACTTGTCTATGGCCCAGTTCAGCATTTTTTGCATGTCTTTCTGATCCACCCCTCCGCTTGGATTGCTAGATGAGGGCACGGCGGCTGCGGATGATACACTTAGAAGAGTTGCCGCTGACGCTGCGAAGCCCGCAAGGCAAGCTCTTGTGTGAAATGATGAGCGTTTGCGTGAAGACATGGTACTAACGATGCGGCGGGAAGTGGAGTGGCCGCGTTGATCTTGCCCACAGCGTTCACGCTCGGTGAGAAGACCCTTGGTGTCTTCACAAGAAAAGTTGAGGTGCTCCATTTTGTTATAGTTAGTTCACGTCGTCCCTACGTACACCTGGTAAAACAAGAATCAATGCCTGGCAAATTTATGAATAAAAAAACGATTTGGAGTCGAAGACAAACTACAAGTCTTTATCAAAAATTTACTCAACCAACAGCGGATTATAAATTGAACAAAATAAAACAACAACTACTACTATATCTATAAATTCTAATTCAGAAGTATCAGCGTTGCCATGGTAAAGAAACCTCATCAACTTCGCCTGATTAGCATCAACATCGGTCAAAGTAGCATATATAAGCACCAACGGATAAAAGGTGAAAAGAATGAGAAACAGCTTCGGGGATAGGCTGATCACCTCTTTTTCAGCCACGAGAATGTCGTGGTTAATGATCCTTGGAACGCATCAAGATCTAGAGCATGTTTGATTCAGGTCCGCCAAGAGAAGTGTATTTAAGAACCCCTCACAATCTAGGTGATATGCAGCATAAGCCTTCTCATCATGGATAACATGATCCATCGAACGCTGTGATCGCAGTGAGCAGCTGCCATCACACAGAACGTTTTCGACGATGGAACGCACGAGCTACACAGGATCTCATCAAAATTTGAACAGCAGAAAATGTGATCCGGATCTCATTTGTTGCGAAGGAACCTGGAAACTTTATCAACGTAAGCGCAGATTCGCTTCGAGTGTAATGCAAAGGCTAGTCCGCACACCTCTTTCCTGTGAACACTAGGAGCATATTTTCGACCTCAACGAGATGGACAAGGATCCACTGCTCGCACTCGCATGTGACACGACCAAGAGATGGACGAATTATGACTGGAAAATGACTTGAACATATAATTCGTGCTTAATTCAACGAGCGTCAATTGTCAGCTGAACACGATCACTTTTAGGAGGACCCCTCAAGTGTGTAAAAAGATCTCATCAATCCCATTTTCATTTTGTACTTTCATGTACCTACTTTCTTTCACTGATCAAAAGCATTTTGTTTTTGTCCGAGAACTTCAGAAATAAACATGGTAATAGCGAATATCTCTTACACTACATCATCTGCAGTTCTTGCAGTCGATGTCCATCAATCCAATAAGATAAGCAACACTGACAGCGTTACAGCTGTTAGTTTACCTGCAATTGAGGAAAAGATCGAACACGACGAAGTTGACTATGAAGAACACGACGAAGTTGACTATGTTACTAGTTCAAGTAAGTTCACCCGGTATTAATTTGCAACATCATCCAGGAAAAAAGCTTACAAATGTAAAAATAATGAGAAATGCCTAGACGGTGATTATTAATCAAAGATTAAGAGCCAGCTCGGCACTAGAACAAAAATAATCTTCATAACGAGCACAAAGATTATAAGGGGGTACAGGAGAAAAAAGGCCAATTTCCTATAATCATCTCACCCAAACCAAACCCGAGACAATCGAGACCGATGGAGGAGCGTTAAATTTAAAAATAACTGGTAAGCAAGAGATAAGAGCCGAAAAATACAGGCAATCTTAGGTTAGCAGTTATCAAGTATGATCACTTTGTGCTACTCATTGTACAGCAGGTCCTCTGTACAGTAGCACCTAAACTAGTACAGTAGCAGGTGGTCCTCTGTACAGTAGCAAATGTAAAAATAAAAAATCTTTCACGAAAACCAATACGACCAGCACGTTTTGAATTCATTATCTTTCACTTTGACTCTATATAGTACACTGATAAGATATTAACATCTTCTGTACTTCTACTTTTTGTTCTGCGGCAAAAAAATGTTCCATCTTCTGGTTCATATATCATAAGTACTCATAATTGTTGACATTGATGTTGCTTGTTGCAACGATGGTGTGGAAGGCGAAGAACAAGGAGGTGTTGATCGTATAATCTGATGTTTTATTGCCAACCCTTCATGCACGAGGAAGCCTAGTCACCACAGTGTCTCTGTTCTAACGGGTAATCCGAGCGCGCGTATTCTTGTTCATGACTTTTGAGATCATGTTTTCTGGTCCTCTGATAAAGATATTGATGGGGACCCTGGGAGTTCGTTGATAATAAAGTGGATCAAATCCATGTTGATATTCGGAGGAACGCGCGATGCTTCCGCGCGCGATCTCCGCCCACACTTTCAACTCAGGAGCCTGCAGAAATGCTCCCACCTGTTGTATGTCGACCCGTGGAACTGTATCAATGTGATCACCTGTGTTTTTACCGATGATCGTGATCGCTTGTCTGTCGGCGGCAACGCATTCAAGTAGGCATTCGAAATGGTTCATAATTGTTTCACAGCAGTAGCGACGCGAACCCGGTATTCGCATTGAGTGGGATAAATTACCTTGTCTATCCTTGCAAGGGCAGCGATGCCATTGCTTGTCGCCAATTGCGAAATGAGGCGTGAGAGGTGCTAAGTTCGTTGTCGTCTTTGGTTGTTTAGCCTGTGACTTTGCTCTTGCTACTGCACTAAGGTGGTGCGCGTGAAAAGATAGTCTCTTCCATATGATAGAAGGTGGCTCCGTATGCCTCACCTGTCGCTGGCACGGTTAGTCTTCAGACACGTACTTCTCAGCGGAGTGGGAGGAAGAGGTACTTGTCCTCGACCCACCAGGGGAAGCCATAGAAGAGTTTTCCGGTGCCGTGCTATGGTACCAGCACATAGTATCCATCTCCATCGTTCCTCTTTCCGCACTCCAAGTTTGACGCGCTGAAATCAACTGCCATACTTCATGGGCGAGCGGTCGGCCGGGAAAGGCTACAATTCTATTGGACGATGTGTGTTCTTGTGATTGTATTTCTGTCCGCGCCTTCCCCCTCGAGTGCGTACCTGTGCTTCGAATAGAAACGTCACACTTCCATCCGCCTGCCATGACGCTGCTCGATGATGATAATGATGATGACGATGCCTGAGCGTTCACTGTCCTAGAATTGACACGCGCTCGTTTCCGATTCGATGCAGTCTTGCTCCCAGCCTCTTCATCAACATCGACGCGCGCAGGATGAAAAACTGTAATTATTTGTTTCGCATTGTTGTCTGATGGAGTAGTTTCCCAAGTCCCAATTAGCCCGCCTAAGAAATTGGAGGAGTAGTCATGGTATATCGGGCGCATCCCGTATCCTCCTGTTGTGCTACCGACGTTTCCATCAACGTCCTCCTCGGAGGCGGAGTCCAATGGTGGGGGCAACTGCTCAGGATTTGAACGATTGGCGCTGGGGCTAGCGCGACAGATAACAAATCGCACAGCCTCTTTACCTCCCCACAATGTTTCGAAGAGCCAGAAAGGGTCGTGCGAACGCCGATGCGTACGGTCGGCAACAGGCGCTCGGGAGGCATTCCCGCTGGCGTCTTTCTTGCGGCGCTCTGCGGTCGGGCGTTCCGATTCAGATGAATCCCCCTCCGAGGAATCGGATACCAGGGAAGACCGACTATCGTTGGTCTCGCACTCCAGACCGCCATCAGAGTGCCACTGGTCGCTGTCAACGTCGCCGCCATTATCAAGACGAAACTCGGATCCTTTGTGATGTCGTTCCAGAACTTCATAAGCCGCAGCTATTTCCTTAAACTTTGCGCTTGCTTCCGCCTCGAACTCCTTCGCTTTTTTGTCCGGATGCCACGATAGCGTGAGCGACTTGTATGCTTTCACGGTAGTCTCATACGTCGCGTTATCGTTATGCCGAACTCCAAGGATTTTCTTCGACTTTGTGATAGAGGGCGCCATTGTGTTGGTAATCTAGACTGCACTTCTTCTACAGAACGATTACCACTAAATCGGATAAGATTGGACGAAAGACTGTATAGGTAGAAGTAGCATCGAAAAAGCAATAAAAAAGATGCTTTTTTTCTAGCCTTTGAGATATCTACAGTGTCGATCTCCAACAAAACCCTTTCTTTTTGTAGGAATGAGCAAAATCCTCGAGTGTATCTATGCATGCGATGACGATGAAATTGGAAAATAAGGAGACTACTGATTCTCTAATTCTTGAAGTCTTGATGTAGTTCAGCGACATGGTCTTCAGCTCCGCTCTCTGTGGCTTCCGCAGTGCCTGCTATATTGGTATTGGGATTTGTTGTAGGAGAGACGATGAAAGTGAAATACGCTGTGCTTTGCATTCGCTCGTTCAGCATCGCCAGCTGTGCTTTGACTATTTCATTATATTAGAAGATAGTACACAAGAACAAGATTGATTTTTTATCTCTATTTCCGATTCTGTTTCTGATCTGAGAAAAACACGACCACTAGTATTTCAATTTCACTTCATCTTCATGAACAAATAGTTATGTAATACGAAAAAGATATCGTGAACATCGAATAATGGACAGCTCGTCGTCAACAGTCAACCTCAACGAACTAGGGAACTGATTCTATTCTTGGAAAAATGATTTGGGGGCGATCTAGATGAATGGCGGTTCTTGCCCAAGATGTGTCCGCTAGAATCTTGATCTCGGAGATCTTCTTCGACAACCTCCTGCACTGCAGGCGATTATCGACAAAGATTTTTTCTTGATGGCGTACTAGTGCTGCAGTGTAATGGAAAAAACCACTTTGAGTCAATGCTGGCCGATATTTCATCAAGCAACAGCTCTCACACTCACAGTATGCAGCCCTTCAATCATGACAGTCAATGACTTTTTCAACAAAATACGCCATACGGCTTCACACTGAGACAGGTCAGGCCCGAGCGTAGGCAAATCGCTCGCCCTGACCACTCTCGTCACTCTTGAAGCGCCGCGCGGAGAAACGCGCACAGGCCGCGGCCCCGCCCCACGAGGGATGACGATGATCATCATCCCAAAACTGCTGACATTCCTCCGTCCCCTCACGTACTCACGGTCTCCCGACTCTCGTCTCGTGCTCAAAAGGGCAGACTCTCGTGGTGCTGGTGACAGAAATACAGCTAGCACAAGCACCGACATCGATGTATTAGTATTTGGCGAAAATGAAAATCTATTATAAGCAACTGCATTACAAACGGTAGTACACTCATGAAATATGTTTTCTCAAACACTACAGTAACGGTGGTTTTTGAGGCTTCTGAACACTGTGACAGACGAAGTGGAAGTCAGCTTGCGCTTGGGCTCGATAAAAATTGTTTCGTTACTTATTTTCAATCTGGATTTTCAGTATTACTTTTACTCGTGCATCGATAAAGCTTGTGGGTTTCTGCTGCACCACATCCACAGCGGCTGCACAATATTTTTAAGACTTCTCGGCCTAGTAAACTACTAGGTTGAATCATGATTCATGATCTAGTAAAAATAACGTGACAGCATACATGTGTGACCGTCTTCTCTTTTTCGGTCATCGCTATCTCCCCTCCGCATTGGCCAAAGCGACGTTTATCTTTCGATGTGCGAGTCCTTCGTGCGGTATCACAATGCTAGTGAAGAAGGCGCCGAAGAAGATGACGAACATAAGGATACTCCCAAGGACACCACTCGGCAAAAAATGCCCTGAATTCAGGAAACCCATGAAAAACGTGAACTGGATTCCAACAGTAAGAAGAAATCCGAACGCAGGGTAGAGAGCTACGAGGAAAAAGCAGAATGTGCCACCTCCGGCGACAAGCATCGCAGGAGTGGCGAACGGGACTCGCTTTTCGATTTCCCCTTTCGGAAGTTGAAGCCAGTAGTCGCAGACCTACTTTGATGCTATAGATTCATTGAAGAGCAGCAAAAGCATTCTTGAATCTGCAATCGATGAAATCAATGTCGACCTTCTTTCTTTCAAGAACAACAAAACATTGATTTGTTTGATGGACCTAAAAAACTACAAGTACCAAAGCGAGGTAAAAGAGTAAGCTCATATTGAACGCGAGGCAACCGAATCCGGCATACAGATAACTCCTGTTCACAAGCGGTGACTCCCATATGACACGGAAGAAGTTTGTCCAGTAAATGAGGCAGCACGTGAACCCTACCCAACATGCAGCGTGGATTTTATCCCATACGTAGTTCAGAGCGCCAACCCACTTCTGCTTAGCACGTTCTCGCTCTTCTAGGTCTCTCCTTGCGGACGTCAGTCCGTCCAATTCGCTGTCTCCACTGGAGGACAAATTGCGTAGCCGTGTTCCTGAGGATGACGCAGGCGAGGCTGCGTTACCTATCGCAGATCGGAGCAACTGGTCGTATTCGTCGTTGTTCGCGGCCTTGCTTGTTGGAGCGCTAGCAAGAGAGCCACCTATAGACGTGCCAGTCATTGTTGTCATTATGCCGGCTCTCTTCTACTTTATAGTTGCAACAATGAGTGAGAGTGAAATTGAAGATTCCTCTTTCCTCGAGCTCTAACAAAAACCAAATGCAGCGTCGTTATAATATGCTCTCCCTTTGTTCTCTAGACGAAGTACTAATAAAGAATGTACTTGTAGCGGTCCCTCCTCCATCTTTATTAGTCGTGGCTCTACAAATCGAGCTTGCAATGAATGTGATTGTTTTTATCAACGTCTGGATCTGTACGTAATTCTATATGTATCTATAATACTAATGTTTAGCTTTCTTGTCCATCTTTACAACACTGTCAGGTGTGTTGAGCGAGAACGCGCCTTTGACCTGCTTCGATGTTGCAGGTAAATTCGTAGTTCGTCGTCAACGTACAACAGGCAGGTGTAGCAGAGTTGCTAGTGGAATTATTTATCCCTTTGGGCCTTGGGAATTATGTGTTTCCAAACTGTCCGGGTGGTGTGATGCATTGCGATGGCCATGCCCATGAGACGGGCATCCTGTAGCGTGTGTGGGGTTGGGGCCCTCCAGCTGTGAGGAAACGGCATCTTTTCATTTTGTAGTGTTATTTGTGGTATTTGCATGAAGATATCATCAAAAGGCAGATATGAGTCCCTGATTAGCATATTTGGAATATAAGCATTTCATCGAGTATCTATTGAGGCAAATCGTTGTTCCTATCTTCTCTTATCTTTTTGCCTCGTGTTCCTGATCCTGGACTGCGTGCAAATGGATTAACACAGAAGTTGTAAAGAGAAAGTCGCGGAATAGATGAGATTAATCCTGTTGACAAAGTAAGCTATTTCTGAGATTTTGAGACGTTTGATGAGGTTCAAATCGGTTTTCTATTCTGAGACTGATTCATTAGCGTAGAAATAAGCACCAAGATTTGCATCGATATCTTGTTCATGCGATTTCATCTCTAAATTGTGTGTCGACGTAAAAATTAATTATGGTAGCTCTTGCCTGCTAGTGACATGCGCAAAAACCTGGATTTTTTTCTTGACAAGCATTCTAGTCCATCTTGAATTCGAAATCCAAAAATTCGTCGAATTCTATCTGACCGCCACCGTCGAAGTCCACAAGTTCAAATCGCTCTTCAAATTCCTCGTCGTCGACGTCGGGGTAATGCTGATTTTGTAGTACACGTACAGTGATGGTCAATAAACATCAAGAAGCAGAAGGTAGGAAGATAGTACACCTCTAGAAGGAGTTGTAAAAGATGTAGATGTGGCATGCGCCTCAATTGCAACAAGCAAGAGGACAGTGCATCAATAGAAGACTCCGACGTGACTTCTACAAGAAAAAATATGTCATGTGTGTGCCCCTGACAGTGCTGTCCGTAGCACCCGCAGAGCTTTTTTTTCGCGTTACGACTATATGCCACCGTCCTTCAAACAACTAATCAACACGTTCACGTAGAGACACATTTCTTTCATATTCAACATACTAGGTAGAGCTAGAGTTTCAATTTCACATTGACAGTCGACTACATTCTTCTTATCGTAAAATGGTACCTCTTTGAAGAATTCTCGTATCTTTTCTTTGGATAGTGATCCTGCGTCCTCTGGGTACTTGTCTTCCATGCCTTCTTCGAGGAATGAGCAGAACTGTTCGTAGAGTTTCTGAATCTGTTCGAGGTCCATGTTATGACGCTTCGCCAGCTGTTCAAATGGTGGCTTGCCCACGTCTTCGGCGTTAATGTCAAGCTGAATGGTCTCCTTAGAGAGCCATTCAACAAACTCGTCAAACTCAATTTCGCCGCCGCCATCCAAATCGATTTCTTGAAATTTCGACTCGAACCTGTTGTTCAATGGTTGCTTTGCTCAGTTTCTGTAGTCACAAAGATCGACGCCAGTGCGCCGGAACAAGTCGTCGATCTCCAACCAAATTAATAAGATTGAGAGAACAGTCTGTCATATTCATACTAGACGTCATCAGACACCAACAGCATAATTATGTTTGAAGACTGCTAACGAGGACAAACATAAACCAAAATACAAAGGAGCTCAAAGTCACAAACAGTTCTTACTCGTCGTCGTCCATCCCTGGAATAAGGTCGCTCATAAGCCTCCGCATAGTGTCCTTTGACATACCATAAGGGTCCTCCGGATAGTTGTCTTCTTGTCCGTCTGGCAAAAATGACTTGAACTGGCCATGCAACCATTCTATCCTGTAAGGTTATAGTTGAAAGACGAGAATATTGAAAGTCGACATGCGAGGCCGCGTGAGTACGGAAGCCGCTTGATCATTTGGTTCTTTTTTTGCTGCAGTGGTAAATGATAGAAATAGATCAACAACTTGATGAAAATAAAAACGGCGAAAGGACGAACTTGTTCACGTGCTGAACTAGCGGAATTCAACGTACTTAGAAAATCCTGATATACCTCGCCATCGTGAGTCCGTACATGACACAGAGGTCTTCCATGCTCGGCTTTGGTTCCTCTTCCTTTTCTGCACCCTCCAAATCCTCGAACGCCACTTTTTCGTCAGCTTTGATTGCAGCTCTACGTGCCTTCAGCTCCGGGATTTGCTTTGCTGTGTGTAGTATATTTGACAGCGTAGTAGATTTGGAAGTGTGCTTGACGGTGTGCCACCTTTGTTTCCTATTTTTCAAGCGTCGTATACATATTTTATGAAATATATCGAGCTTTAGGGCTAAGGCCACCAATAATATTTTTGCTCATTGTTCTCATTCGTCGAATCCATTTGAAAGTCAAAAATACCAATCTGCATTGCTGCATTTGCATCGAGCTCCAAGAGTTTCGAGAGCGAGTTTTGATCCACTACGCCGTCAATGAGCTGGAGCCTTAGTTTTGCTTGCCACAGCTCCCAACCAAGCTGCGCGGTGATATTCCACGCGTCTTGTGCTTCTTCGAACGCTTCGTCTGTGGGTGGTTGAAGACCAAGAACAAGATGACTTGTTCCTAAGAACAACGGAAGTACTTTCACAAAAAGAAATCTTCGCTGGGTCATGCAGGAAAATCTACTTCGTCCAGGACGGGTAGTTCTAGTCGTATGTTGAAGGTACCTATCGTTTTCGCTGAGTTGATAGCTTCTATCTCCATTTCTTGGTCGGGTATGAGTTTGAGGAATTCTAGGAACTCACGGAGGATGACCACATGAAGGCCCCGTGGTGGTGCCTCGTCGTCTTTCTGTGCGCCGCCTGGGTACTCCTCGCCTGTGAGCATCATCTTTCTATTCTCCAAAATCTTTGATATCCACTCTTCAGCCTTCAGAATCTCAACGTGAGTCTCAAACTTCTTGCGCCATGCACGCTTTCGAGCCTCTTCCTCCTCCTTCTGCCGCTTCGCCTCTAGCATAGCCTGCGCCTGCCGCTCTTGCGCTAAGAGCTTCAGTTCACCTGTGTTCACGAGAATGATTCAGTTACTTCGATTAGCAATAGATGTAGTTGCGAGTACGAGGATCTACGTTTCGAGTATCGTAGAAAGAAGTACGATTCGCAAAGGTATTCGTGCCTGGTGGTGTTGTTCATGATGATCGATGGACGATGACGAACCAATGAACTGGAAGAACTAGTGCTGTACTACAACTTATCAATCTACTGAGGCTCTTCCTTCGAGGTGACACGTGAACTAGTACAACCAGCAAGCGAGAGCTTCTAGGAGTAGGACGTGGTACCAACTTTTAACTTGCTATATCGCATTAGGTCTTCCGCTAGGACCTTCCTCGCGAACCACTTCCAGAACGTCTGAAAGTTTGTTGTTCCGTCTGCTTCCTCGATCATGCTCCATGAAGCGGGTATTATCTCATGGTTTTTCAGATATCCCTCTAATTGAAGCGTCTCGTCTATTGCAGCCACTAACCTCGGCATCTCGCTCACTTGCACCTTGCCCGCCTTTTGAAAACCTGCGAAGACCTGAAAAGCAAGTCGTTGAGAAGAATGAGAATGTGTATGTGGGCCAGGATGAAGGGAAAGTTTAAAGAAAGAGATCGTGATGGTGATGTCAACATACTAGTATCATCCATGTCATGTAAGAACCTTCGGCTATAACTGCTTCGCTTGAACAAGTTCAAGGTAAGAAGATAGTACCTTTTGTATCTGTCCTCTTTTTCTAAGCATTTCTCTCCTCCCCTTTTCATAATCCGCCCAATCCGCGAAACTGTTCTCTTTCCGTGCCATGTAGAGCATACTCGTCTTCTTTCGCAAAAGAAATTGAGCCACCCAAGAACAGGGATTGAAGCGATAGTACTGTTGTGGTGCTGCAGTCCGTCGCTCATAGCGTTGCAAAAGCACCTTTGTAAGCTGCTCTAGCGCCATTGCGAGAAGCGGCGCAACTGTCTCCCCTACGTAGATATCAAAGTCAGCCACTCGGGCTTCCTTACCTGAAGATATGAAGGGTTGCCAATCATGACGAGCAGGTTGTTGACTGATTATGAACTTTTTCAGGAGCCTGCTCAAATTATCGAAAGATATAACAAGCACAAATACAATCACAAGTAGGCAAAAATGACACTATCGGTATGGCTAAACCGTCAAGTCGTGTCCTCCTGTAAGAAAAACTTAACCTTGTTCTCTTGAGTAAAATCGCAAAGTTGTAACGAGACAAAGCGATACATAGTTGGTACCACTCTTTGTCTCCGCATTGCCTTGGAACTCCTTTTTCCAGTCTTTCCTCAGATATTTCATGAAGAATGCCCTGTTAAGGACGAACTCCGTTTGAGGAGCTGCGTTGTGTGCCAGCATCTTGTTCGATCGTTTCCACCTGATGCTGATGGTACCTTATGCCTTCCAGACAGAGGACGCAACAAACTAGAAATAGTTGTTGCAGTCGTATTTGGACTATAATGAGGAAACTACTAAGAAGTGAAGCTTTTGTCCTCGACGTTGTACTTCTTCGTAGTGATCTTAGCCCTTATTTTTGGGACGAACTGCAGTTTCTCCTGCAAGAACTCGGGGTGATGATCGTCGTAAAAACTAGAAGCAATTTCTCTAACTTTTAGCCGGAGCTTCGGATCGAGAGGACAACAGGGATGCTGCTCTTCTCGTCGTGTTTTCTAGGGAAGTCGGATCGAGGGGCACACTTGGTAGCACTGGACACTTGTGAGATGCCACCTGTTGAACGGGTCTGGTGAGACCGAGCAGTCGCGTTTAAGGTTGTCGCTGCGCCGTTTTCAAGGAAAGCCTTGACGAATATGACGATTTCGTTTGACTCGAAGTCTTCTCGCTGTCCTCTCGTCCGCTCCTGTCGTATAATGCGTACCACCCTAGTTTTTATCTAGGTACGCTTGTCCGCTGTGAATTCTACCGGAAGCGCAGCAGTAAAGGTCACCGAACGCCAGACTGAAAAGCGTTGTCCTATACTAAAGGCGGAGGGCCTCCAGGCGGAGGGCGCCGGTGGCGCCGATACCGCGCCTGCGGCATCGATGAGAAAATTGACATGCAACTTCCTAATCCTAAAGGCCGTCGTTTTTGGTGCTTATTTGTGATTCGAATTGCACCGCACAGCTATAATTGTTCGCACTCCCAAGCTAGATGCTACACCGACGTTGCTAAATTGTTTTTTCACGTAGATGAAGATAATATCATGAACAACATGATCGAATATTATTGTAAGGTTCACTTTCTGTCAATTGCGCAACTTCTAGTGCGGTAGTCCTATCTCGACCGTTGTCGACGCTTCGACCTATTTTTGGAAAATTCCTTCAGGTTACACTTTCTTTGGGGCAGTCAGTCCACCTCTGCCCTCTGTTCACTCGCTCTGATATCATATTAATTGGGACATATTCGTGCATTTATTCAATTTGCTCCCGATTAAGTTTCAAATAACTATGATGTGGTGCCTTTTTTCCGAATCCTCAACATGAAAGAATCACGATTACCGACCTCGAGATCGACATCCTGAAGATTACGAAAACCTCATCTACTCGAAGTGACAAAACCGACTTTGAATTCTAGGCCAGAAGTATTCTCTATTTTCCTAAAGCTAAAGAAGTTCGTTGATGTTGAAATACAACAGTGAAGGGACGCCGGTCCAGCATTCGGCAGGCACCTTCGAGTGCAGCTACGCACTGGTTCATTTCCATCTCTATGTAGATTGTGCGAGCTGTTGCAAATTTTCATCCATCTCGAGTCGTTTTCGTGTTATCGAAAATTAATAAACATAGATTGTGTCTTGTTCATGAGCCCATGAATATCTTCTCATAAAGGTGGAGGGATCCTGGTTCATCGAACGGGTGCGGGACCACGGGTTGGGTAACAGAATATGGATATGCGCAAGTTCAATTATTAGAATTCACTTGTAGTTACTACAACTCAGTATGCACGTAGAGCGTCAAGTCATCAGATATCATCTATCGAAATTCTCTAGGTACATCTATCGATTCTAATCAAAAACGACATCGACAAGTGTAAGTGTATGCTGAAGACGAGCCAATGTCGATAAGAAGAAATCAATTGATATTACTACTCGACATGTTCAGGTTCATGTTGCCTGCGCTGCTCTCTTTACTAGATAAAATAGATAAGCAGAGACTACTAAACCTCAAGTCTCGATATGAGGCAAAGAGAACTGCATGTGATTTAGCAGATAAAATAAAATGCTTCTGTCTTTACGTTTACCGACAAACCACTCACGTCTGTCGAAGAAAAACAAAATCGCGGTATGATCATGTAGTTTTGGTCCTCTCATTAAATGTATTTTTGAGAAAATTGTGTTCTCGTATGTGTTGTAGCTGCTTTGTGTGTTCTATCCTCTGTTTAAGGTGAAAGCTCAAGGAGCTCATCGTGATGAATTTAGTCATAGTTTTTATTAATACAGCATGGTCCTGCTCCTGGTGGACCTGATCCTGAGCGAAGAGGCTTTCATCGACGCCTGCCTTCTTCGTCCTCTCGAATTTGCACTAGCTTTACTCCGTTGTTGTGACTACGACGACTACAACGGAGTAAAACGCACCGACTTTTCATGAAATCTCGTCAACCACTCAAAAAGTTGCAGACGCTATACAGTTGATACACAGACTAGTACATCACAGTCATCTCTGCATGTAGCTGTATCTACCTCATTCGTAGTAGGGTGAATCATATCGACGATATCGTGCAACTAGCTCGTTATGTTTCAACTTCAAGCGACTAGCTGCGTTAGCTTATCAACATCTCTTCGACGCTAGCCTATAATCGTTAATATCCGAACACACATTCGCATTTTTGCGTGCACTTTTATTTGACTGCAATGTTCTTCCAGCTGATAAAAACAACTGTTGAACTTGAAATATGGAATTGGAATCAGGGAAAACGAGATGGATAAGTAAATGAATTTGGGGAGGTAAGGTGACCTTAGACTCAGAGGCATTCACGGGCGTTGGTCGGCGGATGAAATGCTCACTATCATTTTCGAATGGTTGCACGGGACGAGCAGAAGGAGAACTACGGGCGAGGATAATAAACATAAATTCGCAAACGTGATTAATTCGTATCAACATCTATGAGGTTCTTTTCATTAGACTTTTGCATCGCCTCCAATGTCGCGCAGGGATTCGGATTTCATGCACTTTCATGCACCGGCTAGCGCCATTCCGCTCATGATTAGGAAGCCCAGGAGAAGCGCCAGCAACCTCTTTACGTTTTCCGACACCGGCTCGTCGGCGGCCGACAGAGCGTGGGGAATAAGCTCATTGACGGAGATTTGTAAGAAGGTTCCCGCAGAGAGAGACTGGCAGGTGGCTGAGAAGACTGAGTCTTGTGCGCCATTCGAAGTAAGGATCCCGATAAGCGCACCAAGTGGAGTCGAAAAGGCGAAGATCTGCGTGAAGACGAGGAACCTCAGGCGGGCAGGAGCCGTGACCGCTTTGGCCTCCTCCTCAGCAACGCACGCTCTGCAATTGGTGTCTTCTTGACCCAACTCCAAATCTATTGAAGATTCTAGTTGCACGCCCTGCTTTTTCGGAAAACTAATGGATGCTTGATCCACTGAGGAAGATGCTGTTGTGAGCAGGGGTTGCGCTAGACCGAATGCAGTTGCGCCTGAGGTGAGCGCCGTGCCGTTAGTAGTTGGCTCGTTTGGCGACGTCGTGCACATACATGCAACCTCGTCCGAAGGGGATACTATGTGCGCCTCGTTCGTCACTACCGCTCGCAGCACTGGTATGCTTGACACCTTATCGCCGATCACGGACCTTAAAAAATCAGGCAAGAAGGCGCCGAATGTCACAGGTCGAGTAGCGGGAAAGGTACCCGCTGTTGGTGAGCGTCCGGCGCTCCCAATGGGCAGAGGTACCGCGAATTTCTCGGCTGATAGAGATGGCATTGCTGCTGTGGGCTGCAGGATTTTACTAGCGTCTGCAAGTCGGGGTGAGTGGTCAGGTCGTTGATTTGGTTGTAGCTCGATTCCACCAGGAGGTTGTACTAGTGGACCAGAGGTAGTAGTTATCTGCGCGCCTCCTTCTCCAGGTGCACCGTCAGTTTCCTCCTGCAGTAAAGTCTGACCCAAGGCGAAAGCCGCTAGCCCTTTATGTGCTACTATGGCAATAAGTGTGGCGGACGCCAGTCCGGAATCTGCGGCACTTCCGAAGCCCAGTCCTTCGAGCACGCTGTGAAACATCAGGGCCGTAAAAAGTAACACACTTCTGAACATGCTTTTCACGCTCTGGTAGTCACCGTCAGTATCGACGTTTCCTGCTCCGAAGATGGTTTTGTTCACAGAGCCTGAAGATGCTGATGCACGAGTTGACCGGGAGGACATCTTGGATTGCTGTTGTTCTTCGATGTCCTGAGCATTTGATGCGAACTCGGTCGAAGAAGCGGTGCCGCTTGATGATTGAGCTGCAAGACCAGCATCAGCCCCCGTCATGTCTGACGCACCCGCAGAAGTTGGATATACCTGGTTGTACAGGTGGCGGTAAATACATAGATGATGTGAAAATGATGACAACTGTCGCGACAACATAAACTTATCTACTTGTAGTTCTAGAATAAAGTATGAAGTAAAGCTTTCGCTCGAAGCTGTATGCAACGATCACGAGTAGCTGCATCAAATCAAAATCGTTTCTAGGAAGAACAAAACTAAAAGAACCTCAGCTTTGCTGCCTCCCGAAGCTTTTATTTCCTGCTTTTCTCGCAGGACTAGACTTTGTCGAGATTTCTGTTTTTTCTGCTGCTCGTGCTGGAAGAACGCTCGCGCTTTCTGGGCATCGTCCATTTGCTGCGCTGCAATAGCTAGGCCGCCGACTGCGCCACAGCCATGTGCGCCAAGATTTGGCGCGTGTGGTACCAGGAACCCTGTACGTTTTACTCATAGAAGATATTCGACGAAAATACTGACAGTAGGCAGGATAACCAAGGGGCTTGGTTCAAAAAAGTTGCGAATTCATTTATCAAATGGCAAATCCAAGAAATTTTGATTTTATCTCATCTTTTTCAAATTCATTTCCTACTGAGCCAGTATCTATTTGCGATTATGAAAAATATTGGTGGCAAACATGTCAAGAGATGTCAATTTTGGGGTATCTATAAGTGTATGCTAGAATCTCTAAGTACATTTGAGAATAGGAATTGTTGCTGATTTACACGAAGATGAAAAATCTCTTACAGTATAAAGTTTTTCCCTCGTTTTGATTTTGATTTCATGCCTTATATTTTGAATTTTGATTTTGATTTCATATTTTGACTTTGAGTTTTGATTTTGAGTTTTGCAATTTGGATCGAAGTTTTGAAATTTGGGCCAAAGTTCTCAACTTTAGATCAAAGTTTTGAAATTTGGATCAGAGTTTTGGAGTTTGGGTGTTTTATATTTTGAGTTTTGATTTTGATTCCATACTTTGAATCTTGAGCTCTGATTTTGAGTTTTGATTTTGAGTTTTGGTTTTGATTTTGAGTTTTGGTCTTGAGTTTTGGTTTTCAGTTTTGATTTTGAGTTTTGATTTTGAGTTTTACTTTTGAGTTTTGATTTTGAGTTTTGAATTTTGATTTTGAGTTTTGATTTTGAATTTTGATTTTGAATTTTGATTTTGAATTTTGATTTTGAATTTTGATTTTGAATTTTGATTTTGAGTTTTGATTTTGAATTTTGATTTTGAGTTTTGATTGTTCTAGCAAATTCTTTGGAATTCCGTTGACGCCTGCCCCTGGGGGACCACTCCAGAGAGCTAGTTTTAGGTTTTAGAGTTGAAAAAAAAATCTATCTTGGAGTGAAGTCTGCATTTTCTACGCCATCCTGTCTGTTCAAATCCGTGAAAACATTCAACTCCAGCAAAGTAGAGTAAAAATGCGAAGCCAAGAAAATCGTTGTGGCATCTTGAATTACAAGGTAGAAGTTTTGAGTCTATTTGATTCTCCTAAAGCAGTTTGCTCGTTCAACATATCAGGTACCATTTTTGGTAAGTGGTCAGACGACCTTGTTGTATACTGAGCATTTATCTTGTATTCTGCACCATCATTATCTAGAATAGTTAAGTGCAAGAGTGGTAACAATAACATGGATGTAGTAAAGTACCACTAAGTGTTGGCGAAGCGTCACGCCTCGCCCCGAGAGAGGGCGATTGCCTTTGCCGTGATAGGCTCCGACTGCGTTCTTGAGCTGCTAGGCTGAGTTCGCACTGCTCTTTCGTCTTTTTGCAGCAATCAGGTTTATTCTGCGCCTGTCGTGACACGCTGCCTGCTGCTTCTTCCTCTCGACCTCGTGTTATCGTATCTGGAGATGCTCGTCCGCTTGCTCCTTTGCCTTGTTCATCGATGTTTTTGGACATCACGGTTGCGCCGCCTTTCGCCATCGTTGTATTTCCAAGTTGTATACCTGTACGGCCGATATCTTTGCCAAGAAGCGTAAGAACAAATGTGGACTCATCATCCGCCGCAGCGTTTTGAGGTCTTGAAGATTCTAGAGGTGCTACAGCCACAGTAGTCGGCGAGGAAACTGCAGTTCCGGTTTTCGCCTTGGCACCCTGGAGGAGCAGTCCCCCGACAATGATTTCCAGCGCCAGCAGACAGCAATAGGAGAACCCTGCTAACATCGGTGCGTAGAGGCCAATGTCTCCGATCGCGTCTGGCAAAGAGTGCACTAACGCGACACTGAGAAGAACTCCCGATGCGAATGCATTCGCTCGTTGGATCACGTTCTTCCCCGAATTCGTCTTCGCATAATCCGCCAAAAACCAGGTCGCGATGATGCCCATGTAGGCGACGACAACGGTCGCAAACATGCCAAAAAGCTTCAACAAGACAAGCTGATCCATCATTTCTCGCTAAAACGAAGGACCGTTTTTTCTTGATGATAGCGATGGTATAGGAGACGACACAGTTTGATGTTATTGACCAAAGTCTGACATCTAGTAAGTCATTTACACGTATAATTCATCCTGTTCGACGCTCCTTACATCTTGCGGAATTTTTATTTGGGTCACAATACTAGTACAACGAGGAGCATAATCAACACGATTCATCCAGGTTCGCAAAGTCAGTGCATTTCAATCAGAGATGAATAACACGCGAAGGACAACACATGAAGAAGGAATGAGATGAACGTGGGCTGCGCACGTCGATAAGCGTAAACGACTTTCCAATGTAAATCAACGATCATCTACTATTGATAGAATAGCGTGAAAAATCTCAACGTGACACTTTAATTAGCAGCATGTTGTATCTCATCTACGTCTTCCCCTGCAGCGAATTATTAATTATAAATACAAGAACAAACTCTATAAAAATTTCAACATACATCAATTTCCATGTGTCACTTATTCTTCACAGTCATCCTCGAATTCGCTAAATTCAAGCTGAAATACTCGATGGTAGAAATGGGGACCAGAAAAATTGCGTTTCTCCGTGGGGAAAATCAAGACCAAAAGGAGAGCGCTTGTTCGTACCTTTGATTGATCTAAAAGTAGAATGCTTGCCTGCTGCCAGGAAATCAGAAAAATAGATTGGAAATCAATGATCATGATTGAGTGAGAGGGTGGAACGGGGTGAGCCTGACGAGCCTCTCTCGACAGGCACACCTGCACCTGGTGCGTCCGTATGGGATCTGCATATCCGTAGATTTTTTTCATCACTCCGTCATAACATGTGACTATCTTTGGTGTGTCGCTCAGACAGTGACCACAAACACACTTTTATATCCATACCAGCACGTCGAATTAAGTAAGTAGATGTAGTCGACTAAGACCCTGTCAGAAGGAACTCATGAGGACGCGGGCGCTATTTCTTGCTGCACATCATAGCGTGAGCGTCTTTTTTCTTGACGATGTGATTGTTATGAATATGTGTAGAACAAGTTGTTTCATTATGGTCTGAAAGTGATCACCTACTTCTCAAGAGTAGTTTCATCATGTGGTACACAATACGCTGGGTCTCCCATGTGTGCATGGGCAACATGCGGTAGAAATTAAAGTATGAAGATGACTTAAGTACACCAGACAATTATCTAACAACATCAGCATGAAAAGGAATTAGGGATAGAAAATTCGAGCAGAGTTGGAGTTAGGCATATATTGTCCTCGTTGTTGACTTTCTTATGATCAGCATAGAGGAAGACTTCTTTCTGATTGATCCATCATACCGATACCTCCTTCGTCGTCACACTCACATCCTGATACACGATATCGAATTAATTTAAACCTAACGGAAGCGCAGGAAGAACGTTACGGGACACCATCATACAGAGAAAGGCGCGTAATTTCCGGAAAGTCAACTTACATTTTTTTAGGTTGCAGGGCAGAAGATCAGTTGCAAAATGTTTTCCGAATTTCGAATAATGACCCTGAGCAAGTTGTAGACGGAGTAGTTCTATAGTATGGACTTTCCGAAGTGAACGTTAGTTTTTTCCTGTCTTTTTTCCATTATATCGTAAAAGTTGATAACATCAGTCTAGTACTTTCACTTACTTTTATATCGGGGAGGTGGAGGCCGAGGCGGGACGGAAGAGCCAGAAGTAGGGTAGGACTGATCGGAGGTAGTGATATAGATATGAATGATGAAAAAGAGAAGAAACAGAACAAACCGATCAGCATACTGCACGGCGCAGTAGAAAGGGTCAAGGTGTCTGAATTTCCAATAATCATTTTTGGATTTATTCGGTTTGCGCTGGTTATGATATCAAACAGAACTGTTGAAAGCTAGCATGAAAATCTGATTGGGGAGTTGTCAGAAGAATGCAAGCGCGACGAGCTGAAGTATTCATCGTGTTAATGTCGTTGTGGCTGTGAATGATGATGATTATTTGAGTAATTATCTGATGACCCAAAGTTAGATGGTTTTTCACATGACTTACCAACCTAAAGCTAAACAAGAACAGAGTCGGAGGAGCTGCTCATCTAAGTATTCAAGCGTAAGATTTGGGTTTGTGAGATTTAGGCTGGCGATTGATGGCGTGGAGGGTTTTTCACGTGGGGACAATCGCTTCTCAATAGCGTCCTTGTTGGGAACTCAGCAACCGTGGGTGTCGAAATGTCATGTGTACGTTCCTGATGCCATTGTTCAGAATGACCGGAGATTTTTTTTTTGCGTTAGGACTATATGCCGCCGCCCTTTCAATCAATTAATTAACATGTCCAATTAAGATCATCCAAGTTACATACTGGGGGCGCATAAGACCGCACAATCGGCCACAAATCTACGAATATCGGAGGAGCCGCACATTCGACCCCTTTAGAAAAACTAAGGCGCAAACCGACGCGGCGGGGCCCCATGAGCAAGTCAGCACACCTGCAGGGGTATGACACGCCGCAACACTGATGATTGATTTACTGATGAACCACCTATAATCTGAATTTGTTACCGGTTCGAAATCTGAATTTGTGGGTGTCGAAACCAGGAGTGGCGATTCATTCACACAGCCGCCGCCCTTCCCAGCACGACTTGTGGCATTTCTGTTTCTTCCTGCAGCGGCTGATGTCGTTCTCGATTGCGATAAGAAGAATATGAGGACTTGATGTTATTTCCTCCTCGCCGATCTTTGTCTCCTTGCGACGTACTTCTAGAGCTTTCTCGTTGCTCCAGCGGGGCTTCGTCGTCCTCGTCTATGAGGGGGTCCCTGTTCGTCCTGCCTCCAAGTCCGTCCATATTTGCGAAATATTTCGCCTGTATGTAGACTGTTAAGATTATGGAAAGAAACCAGAAGACAATCTCAGCGTCACAGCCTGCTGTGCACTTACAGCCCTCTTTTTCCCATAAGAGACCGTCTGCACTCTTTTCTCTCTCTAAGATTTTGCTGTTGTCGAAATGCGTCTCGCATTGCCCGAGTCGAACCCGTGCCGATATCCGGGCTAGCTCCTCAAGCAAGGAATAACCGCGACGACCACTGGACGAAGATAGAGAAAGTTGATTCAGAGATGAAGTGCGTAATGGGTCGTGTATATGAAATGAGCCGAACGAGACAGTGTGAGTGAAGATGAGGTGAACAATCAATGAACATGAAGTTGAAGATCTTCTAGATTGATAATATTGTTCGTCAGTAGTCGCATCATCAGCGTAATATTTCATGACCTAGTATTTTGAATGTGATTTTCTCAACGGTAAATCGGAAAAGTTGTTGTACCGAAGTTTTTCTTTCGCGTCATGATTTGCCAATCGTTGTATGAAGTAGCTGAGGGCGCTTATTCCGAGAAGAGTCGCTAGAGAGACGGTTCCGTATTGTAATAATGGCCCAGGTGCACAGTGCGCCGACCCGCAGGTGATACCCACAAAGAGTCCGATAACAACGTAAAGCCAGACACCTATGTCTAGAAATTCTTGCTCTACATTCACTTGCCATAAGCGCAGCAAGGCCATTACCTGCACAATGGCGAGTAGTCCGGTAAGCACGCCCACGCTTGCCCTAGGCTGCCTCAAAAACATCAATAGGAAAACGGTGCCGACTATTAGAAGAAGATCATAAAAACAAAAAATCAATTTTCCGTCTGACTCATTATTTCGCCTTTTCAGCTCTCGCACCAGGTTTCAGTCTTTTTAATTTTAGCCGACGTGAAGATTACTTTGAGCTATTACAGCCTATCCCGATGGAACTACGATTGAGCACACCTGAATAATCAACGTCAACGACGTAATCGTCAATATTTGTGTACTGGGATTCAGATGATCGATCATATGCTCGACATAAAGTGAATAACGTTGTGAAAATCGGCAGCCACCATGAATCTTCGGCTACTTCGTCATGGTCTTGCATGTCTTGCATCATCAAGCCTAGCCACACGCTTGTTGTGATCGCTCCAGCGACGCAGAATACCTTAGGAAATTTCCTACCTAGAAGGAGGACTAGTATCGCAAGGACAAGCGCTCCGAGATGTAGAAACGTCGGATGCCCAAGGAAGTATCGATAGGACACGTCTGGCGGCGTCCATGCAGCCCCATGGTCATGCTCTGTAGTAGCCACCCCTCCAGCAGCCGTTGCATTTCCTGCGTGATCGCCATTGCCTCCACCGACTTGGGCATGCAAATGGGGACTGAGGGTGGTAAGCGAGGTCCCGTTCGGAGCAAAGTGATGGAAGTTCCCGCCATGCTGAGCCGGAGCGGGTGACGAAGATGAAGACGAGGATGTGGACACTCCTGCTGACGGCGATGCGGTCACGCCTAGTATCGTTTGGTTCCTTGTCGAGGAAGACGGCGAGCCACTTGGCGTTCCCGATGACATGGTGTATAACTCTTCTGTGTTGTCTTCATATAGAGCTAGAGGCTGAGGTGCGCACTAATTATATTTGTTAACTTTTGATGATAGTACTTGGACTACTTCGACTTGACCACTAAGAGTAACAGCACTAGGGTATCTTAGAAGTTTTCCCCTTTATTAACCGATCTGGAGCTGGACTCTTAGCTTCGTGATCATAATTTGAGTCCACACAAGTCACTGCGTCGAAATAAAACGAAAACTGGTACAGGCTTACTTAGTCTGCATTTCTTTGCTTAATGAATTCAAATTTTTAAGTTTCTGCTTCCGCAGTTATGCATTGACCTCAAGATGAAATAGAGTAAAGGCGTCTCGGCGTAGTTGCCCTCCTGTTTGTCCAAAACTTCTGGTCTTTTGTTGGTCGGTCTTCACTTACCTCAGCATCCTCACTCAACATCACAGTCCTTGTCCTTCGACCTCGCTAAATAAGTAACGCAATCCCTTTCGCCTCATGCGCAGCGAAAAACTGGTGCATGGTTCGTCCGATACTGGAGAACGTCAAGATGCCGCCGTCCTGCTCGCCAGTTTGATCGATTGTAATCGGCTACAGTACTAGATGACAATTGATGTGGTAAAGCACTACTAAATAGTGGCCCCTGGAGTCAGAGACAAGAAGTTCTTGTTGTTTTATTAATGTTAATTCCGAACTTCATCGAACTACTTGTTTCTCAGCCTATTGATTGGTACGAAAGTAACATGGTGCAGCGTGATGATGCGTATCTGTTCGGCGATATGCTGGAGTTTGCAAGCTTGTTCCCGATATGACAATGAGACTGACTATTTCATCTTCAATGGGTGGTGGTGAAGGTGATGAGCGTCAAGAGAAACAGAATATTACTACAAGAACTAGAACATCTACTCATCAAGCCACCGATGCAAAAATTGCTTTCCTGATCTCGTCCTGATCTTATAAAGTGAATTTTAAAAAATTGGTTTTACAGAATGAGAAAAAACTATTGCCATAGCCTAGAAGTTCGCTCTTCTCAAAGACAGAACTTGATCGTTAACTTTTGAATTTCACACCCTGAAAAACAACTTCTCTCACAACAGAAGACTCGAATGATGCAGAAGACTTGAAACTAAATGCATACAGACCACGAAAGTATATGTTTGAGAAATTGAAACTCAGACCGATGCTGTTTTCATTGCTTCAATTGATAGCAGGTCGTTCTCAACGCTCTGAAACAGAAGGTGTTGGAAAGATTGAAACAGACACTTCACGATTCAAAATTTTGAGGAGAACAGAAGCTCTCAATTCTGGTAGTCAAAAAGGTCGGGCGAGAACCATTCAAACTACCATAGTGCGAAGGAGAGATCCCGAAGTATTTTACACAAAAAGCTACTAAGCTATAATTCAGAAGTGAAACAAGAAATCGTAAATGATAAAACTGGCTTCGTTCTGTTTTGGATTTTGTTCTTCGACTTCGTGAGGATATGAGAAAAGTGTGGTGATAAACAAATGACTTTTACTAGAGTGAGAGAGAGAATGGATTCAAGTGCCGCTGCAAAGCCTTCACGTTTCTGCCACAGACTCATACTCTTACTCTGTGGACATTGTCTGTAAGTCGCTGCAGTCAGAAATGATAATCAGCCTACACTTTTCACGAGAGACATAAGGGCCTCTGAGATATACTGTCGGAACTGAAAGGAGCGAGAAGAGTAATTTTATCAAATGCGAGTG